ATTTCAGGGTTCGGAGGTTGCTTCACAGGTATTTGACCTTGTGGGTCCACCAACCTTGCTAAAATGTTTGTCATTTGTTGAATTGCCGTTGCCATTTGGTCCCTGATTTCAACCCTCGATCCTTGCTCTCGTTTAGCTGTTATTTCCCTTTCTTCTCTTGGCTCTTGGGCTCGCTTAGTCCCACGTCCACGACCACGTCTTCCCTCCATATTTTTTTTCCTCTCTCTTTTCTTTTCTTTCCAAATGGTAATTTAATGAATAAATGCAGTAAGTTGACTAAAGTAACTCAATTCTAGCACACCAAATACCCAAATAAACATATACGTACATAACACACCATATATCAAGAAGACAGATGATCAAATACACAAATACATATCAAGTCAGACAAATAATCATATACACAAATACATAAACTAACGTCGTGTAGTAATAATATAAGGGCAAATTAAAAGAAAAGGCGATCTGTCATCCCACACTCAGTTAAAACAACCTCATTCGGTCTCTCACGTCACTTTCTAACCAAACTAGACGTCCCTTGACCTCTTGTACTCATTCCAGCCAAACAAAGCCTGTTCAAGTTCCCAAAATGCAAGTACTCGGGCACGAGAATTCAAAATAAGATCATTTACATCTCGAGCTGGCCAGTCCCAAGAGTAAACTATCTACAATCGAAATTCCTACCTGACGTACCTATCTATGATCCTCAGATACCACGAGAAAGATTTAAGGCCAATCACATTCACAATTCATAACTTATGCTCGAACGAGCACTTAGTCCTTCATACTTATTCACCACTTAGCCCAAACTCACTCAGCGTAGAGACCACGCGAAGCAGGCTCTGATACCAACTGTGACAGCCCCACCTCCCCTAAGGCGAACCAGAGGGTTCGGCGGACCGCCTGTCTAGCTCTCGCCGGGACTCAGTCGTTCACTTCAATTCTCAATTAAAATCGAAATAAAACACAGGAATAAATATAACGACAATCCAAAACTTAACGCAAAACTTATGTACATTAGAGTACAAACATCGAATATATAAAGGTTCTCAATTCTTCATACATCCAACCCGTGCCAAGTACTAGGGCGAAAACCATTACAAGAGAAAACCAAGAAACTAGTCTAGGCTAGTCTATCCAAAACTCCCGTCCTGACTCGCCTTCCCTGTTAAGGAAAACAAAACTAAAGGGATGAGCTAAAAGCTCAGTGACGTTCCGAATACATAACCAAACAATCAATCCAATACATTAAACATAGAGTATCAATAATTCAAGAAACATTTACAATGGAAAGCGATAATAACACATTCATTAAAAGGATAGGGGCTCACAGGGAGCCATGCTTTCGTTCGTTCATTCGTTCTCCTGACATTTCCCCTTATTCCTCCAATTGTTTGAAATGCATTTTTGTAAGTAAAACCTTCGTTCGTTCGTTCATTTCATTTCATTTACCCCATCTTGGACATTGGTCAGGCTCCACCAACCTATAAAGTAATACTCAAGTATACCAACGTTCACACCCAGGGTCACCATATCGCCCGACCGAGTCCGCTTCTGGCTCGAGTCGATCGGTAACGAAGGGCAGGGCCCAATTCAGCCAAACGGCTTATATTCATGCGCAACTAGCATTTAATCATTTAATCATTGAAAATTTCACATTTATTTTGGTTGAGTGCGATAAAGTACACACTCGCCTAGAAAACTCGTTTTAACAATCATTGAAAGCACTTAACACATTATCAATCAATAATAACAAGCCAATAAGTCAAGGAAATATAACAAACAAGGAATACTCACCTATATACGCAAAACAACTTGCAAAATATCCTTCCGGATATTATCTTTAGTTATCAAGAAAACCTAAGATTAAACAAGAAAGAATATTACAACTCATCTAACACAAACAATTAGATGAAATCAAAGAATTCGACAATTGATGAGTAGAACGTATAAAAGACTTTAAAGTGAAACGAGGATATTTGGACCCATGGACAAAAATAACTAGGGTTTCATAGTCGAAACGTAAAACCCAACTCAAAAGGATTCTAAAATTTTTCAATGGAAACACTTGAACCAAAGACAAGTCGGAATCCAACTAGATAGGCTAAGAAATACTATTTTCAGGATCGTTTATATGGTTCAAAATCATCTCATATTCAAGTAGAAATTATAGACTAAATGTCTTAATGAAATTCATGTAAAAGGGAGGACAAAATACCCAAGAAAACCCTAAACCACTCCTTTTTATTTGGTAAGCAAAAGTAAATATTTGGAGTTTCCAATTGAAGAAGGATCATGTTTTAAGATGGAAAATGGTCATAGTATTTGCCAAACGAAAATATACAAATTCAAATAGAAACTTAGCCCTCGAGTGAAAATTTGGGCAGCATGCCCTTTGTATTTACCTATTTTTCCAGCCATTTATGACTTCATTGTTTTCCTCAATCAATCCTAAAGTCACACACAATATCATCTCATTTCAATAGCCATTCCGTAGGCTCAAAGTCATATAAGTACAAAAATCAAGCTAACAACATGTGCGGAAATGAAGTTTAACAAAAGACAGATTTGACTGGTTTTGCGTAACAGACACATCCGAAGCTACGCTTATCGGATTGGAATGTAATTTATACCGTTTCGAAGCTAAGACAGAGAGCTACAATTTTGATGAAAACCACTTAGTTCAAATTCTAGTGTAACCTAGTCAAATTCCCAATTCCCAGAACCAAGTTCCAACTAATCGGCTAATTGACCATACTACATTTAAATGGCCATATCGCAGGCTACGAAAGTCCATTTAAGGCGTTCTTGGAGGCTTTGAAAAGCTAAGACAAAGACCTACAACTTTCATGAAGACCACTCAGTCCAGTTCTCACCCTAATGAGGTCAAATTTACCAAAACTACTCCAGATTTTCCAGTTCGAAATTCACTGCAGAAATCAACTAGCAGTCCTGCTTTATTCACTCATATCTCAGCACACACAACTCCAATTCAGGTAATTCCAAAGCCATTTGAAAGCTAAGATACAAGACTATAATTCTTAAGATGATATCATCAACCAATTCGGTAATATTCCTGGTCAAACTAATCACTTACAGAGGCTGATTTTCATTTTCGGACAGAAACAGGGCAGCAGGGGTATTTTGGTCTTTTCACAGGTTACGTTGCTCCGATTGAGTTGAAACTTTGTAGGCAACTATAAAACATCATTCTCTATAACCTTTATGTTTTGTGCTAAGGCTAATTCAGCTCCCAACATGTTCAAACCTTCAGACTAATTTCAGACAGAAATCTTGACAGAAAAGGAATACTTGATGTTCATTTAAATTCCACCCAATCAAACGAATTTCCAGCCATTCAAATCAGTTCCTAGCTAGTTAGATTCAACTTCCAATCATCAATCATAAGTTTTACCACAAGAATGAAGAGTTAGGAAACTGGTTTACCTCAAATCCTTAATCATAACCCTAGCTGGCCGATTCTCTTGAAGCATGAAACACAGAAATTAATCCAACAATTCATCATATAACACAAACTTGGTCATCAATTCACCAAAAGAAACTAAATCAGTACAAGTTCATGAGCTAAACCAACGTCCAGCTTTGGTGACTGAAACTTACTTGAGGAGATGTATCCTTGAGCTCCAACTCTCCAACAAAGTTCGCTTGGTTGGTTGCAAGCAAGGTTGGATGAATAACCCCAATGATTCTCTTTCTTTCTTATTTTTTTCCTTCCTTCTTTCTTCCGCTAGCTCACCCGATGCTGCCCTTCTTCTTCTCCAAGCTCACGGCAGCTTGTTCTTGGTGTTGGCTTTGTTTGTTTTGTCTTATGTCCTACTAACTTAATAGCTAAGTCTATTAATAGTAAAGCAAAACAAGAGATGGGTCACGGGCTTGGGTAATTAATGAGTTTATAGCTTAGGCTTCTAATGAAATTAAAACTTAAAGGCCCAACACTACAACTCTACTTGATCCAATGTAATTAACCCATTGGTTTACTAACTTAATATCCACTTAATGCACTAATTTAGTTTAATTAAAACTTAAGCACACTAACCCAAGGTACTAATCACTTGAACCGCCGTACTAAACATGCATGCATGCACATACAATCACGAAAATATTAATTGGTTGAATTTAATTTAAACTTAAAAGTTTAGTTTTGAAAATAGGATTTTAATGATTCAATTAAATGTTTCACTTTTGATATGTAAAATACTCTTTGAAAATCAAAACACATGGTAAAATACATTTTTCACACAATAGCTACTATAATTATCCATATTTAATTTATTTGAGACCATTAGGAATCCAAGATCTCACATCCATAATGTACCTCAAACTTAACATGTACGCACTTATACTAGAAAAAAAAAAGTGATTTAAAAACGATACTCACTTATAGAGGCTCTGAAAATTAAATGATTAATTGATTGAAAGTAAGAAAAATACACGCTGAAAAATAAAATAGAATAAAATAAAATAAAACAATGACAATTTTGCGGGTCCTCACAAAGATGGTTGGGGCTCCAGAATACCAAACCTCCTTTGAAAGACACCCCAGACCTCCTTCGCTATCTGTCCTATGATAAGAAGGTGACCTAAGGTCTCTTTGTGCAAACGGCAGCACGAGCACCTTGACGCCATTGGGACTCCCCTTTTCTTCAGATTCGCTTCCACTGGAATCAGATTACGTACTGCCTTCCACGCAAAGAAGGACATCTTGAGGGGCACAACATTGCTCCAAAGCAGGTCATCCATCAGTGACGGGGTTCGTTTCTATCGGATCAGGTCCGAAACTGATTTGGTCGTGAACGTTCCAGAGGGAGAACGTGCCCAAACCATGTAATCATCGTGATTGGGGTATAAGTTAACCTCCTATATCTGTTGGACTAAATGATCTGGGAACCAACTCTTCAAATTACTTACTTTCCAACCACCATCCCCATAGAACTCCGCTAAAAGCATGTGAGGCGGATCCCTGATTGGGACCATCTCTACTAATGGAGAATCAAGAAGCCACCGATTGTACCAAAAGTCCACAAAGCCTTTGCCCACACACCACCTAATGTTTTGTTCCACAATGTCTCTAATGCTCGCCAACCGTCTCCATGACGGAGAAGGCTTGGAGACCTGCGCTTGGGTAGGATGGCACCCCTTGATATACTTGGAATACATAAATTCCACCCAAATTGAATCGCTCTTTTGTAACCGCCACCAAAGTTTACAAGCGAAGGCAGAACATATGTCCGCGAAGGAGCAAAACCTAGTCCTCCTTCCTCCGTTGGATAGCAAAGCTTCTCCCAAGACACCCAGTGTATGCTCTTGGACCGAATGTCTTTATCCCATAAGAAACTATTACAGATCCTGCCCAACTTTGCTAGCACTGCTTGCGGCGGGTCCAACACCTGCAGCAAAAACATAGGCATAAAGATGAGCACATGGCGCAGCAATATTAGCTTTCCCCAAGACGAAAGAAGTCTCGAGCTCCAATGGCACAGACGGTCCCGTATCCGTGCAACAATAGCATAAAAAAGAAGGCATCTGGACTTTCCTCTTGAGATTGGTGCTCCCAAATAAGTAAAAGGCAGATGTTGTTGTTGGAACTGAAGCTTCGTGGCAACCATGCCCAGATATTCCTCAGTCGCCCGAGTGGACATAATAAATGAGCTTTTGTGCGTATTAGGGTGGTAGTTATGTCATTTGCTTGCAACGTGGAAGAAATTGATAAGTTCATTTTTCCCCTTCTAACAAAGGGGTATTTTAGAATTTTCGAATACAAATTTAGCATATGGGGTCTATATTATTACTAAAATCTAATAATATGGGAGGTAAGTATAATTTTTTAAGCCAGAGAGAGCTACCTGCAATAGTCAGAAACCTCAAGGGAGGTTTCTGAAATTATTCCTATAATATGTATAGAATGACAGGAAAATGCACTATTGATTCCCATTGTTTGGGGGATATTAAACAATTTTGTTCCTAAAGTTTCAGTCAAAACACATTTCATCATTATAATTTTATAATTTTGATAAATTTTGTCCCTAAAGTTTCATGCAAACACATTTGATCCTCATAGTTTCATAAATTTGACTAATTAAGGATAAATGATGGATCGTCAAGCAATTTGAATGGAATGTCATCACTTCATCATAGCATGCCCATAAGTCAAATATAAAAAATATTGGATCAACAAAAATCTCGAAAATTTTAATTCACTTTCTTATTTAAAAAAACTAAGAAACTTTTAGCCACCATTACTCTTGTTTTAATCACAAATTGAACAAAAAGATCGAGATGAAATGAAGTCGTGGAGAAGAAACAACCAATTGGAACAAATTTTCAAACAATCCCATTGCAACCAATTAGGAAAAAATATTAATGTGAAAGTAAGAATCATTTAGATTGTCATTTATTTGCAAAATTTTGTTTCGTTACATCATATACATGTTTTTTAAATTCTCTATCTATCATCTAATTTATTTTTTATAGAAAAAAATTAACGTGAAAGAAAGAATTATTTAGATTGTCATTTATTTGCAAAATTTTGTTTTGTTGCATCATATACATGTTTTTTAAATTGTCTATCTATCATCCAATCTATTTTTTTGGTCTCACATGCATCATATCACAAATTTCAAAAAAATCTCTCATCTACAGACACTCATTATTTTTTATGTAATTTAATCAATGATCGAATAAATGTTAACAATTATTAATGGGACATGCTAGTCATGTGATGATATTCAGTCCAAATTGGTTAACAATCATTCAATTGTTCTCAATTGATCAAATTTACGAAATTATGAGGACTAAATATGATTGCATGAAATTTAAGGATAAAATTAGTTGAAATTACAAAACTACGAGGATATAATGTATTCTGACAAAAACTTTAGGGACAAAATTGTCAAACAATCCAAACATTGGGAATGAAAGATGTATTTTTCCCTAGAATGATTGATTTCTTAAAATGGCAAGGTGGGTGGCATCTTACAAGGCAATTTGCTTCATTGCCCCCTAAAGCGAGCATTACCTATATTGTCATTCTTAATTATGGATTCTATGTTAGTGCAATTTAATTATTATAAAGATCTCTTTTCACACCTCCAATATCTTTCATCCTATCTTTATCATTCTTGGTTGCGATTCCGTCATCTTGACTAATTCTTTCTTAAACAAAACCAAATTCATTCTTCTTTATAGTCATATAAAGATTCATCCATGACAACAAATATGATGATTATCCTTATATGTTCTTAGCAAGATTATTCCAAATGCAAGTTTGTACCAAACATGGTGATATATTTGGTTATTTTTGTTTTTTATGAATTCTTTTAAAGCCAATAATTGATTCTACATTTCAGCAATTTTGAAGAGTCCATTATGGTTCCTTATTTTAAACTCTTAGCCTAGTGGCATAAAATATGCTTAGTGTTTTTGCCAAGAGTTATTAAAACAATGCTATTAGAACTTGATGAAAATCTATACAACATATAGATAATTATTGCATAAAATTAATACAACTTTTTTTGAATTCATATGTGGATTGGCTCTATGTACAATAACTAGCAAAAACAATACAAGAAAATAGATCCAATTAAGGGATGCAATTGCTCTTGTATCTTTTTAAAAAAAACTAGCAAAAGAAAAATAATAAAATGTTTTGGTAATATACAATTTTGCAATTATAAGAATCTAATGTTGGTTGTCATAATTTTTTACAATATCAAGACAATTATAGTAAAATTAACAGAAGTACAAAATGTTCAATTTTATACAACATCGACATTAACAATGAGCTAAAATAAAGATTATCTATTGATTTATAGATCAAGGCTCAAAAGTCCTTAAAATTTATATATTTCCATGTGGCATTTCTTTTTTATATTGAATACATTTTCATTCTTCTAATAATATGAATTAAAAACTTGTGTCTCTCGATAGGCCAAATATAGAGAATTTTTTTTATAATTTTTGCAAAAAGGTATAAAGAGGAAGAGAATTTATTATTTTAAAGGGGCTACTAATAGGACATATAAAATTCCTACAATTTTTCCTTACCTATTATTTAACTTTTCAATATTGGGGGAACGGGGCAATTACCTATCCCAAGGAAAAGAATTTTTATTTTTGTAATATGTGGGGGGAGGGGGAGGCAAGGTTTACAGAAAAAGAGAATTAATTATTTATAGGGAAGTTAATGTTAGGACAAAATTAAATTTTAAAAATTTTTCGTAAACCTGTTCTCTAATTTTTTTTAAAAGTTGAAGGGAGAGGGGGCAATAACTAACTGTCAAATAAATGTGGCTCTGCCCCTAGATCTAATGTCTAAGATTACATGTAACATACATAGACATATTTAAGTTTTGCATGAACATACAGGCAACTCACTTTAAAATTTTCTTCTTAGCATGAACATAATGGATACCAAACTATCATTTCCAAATCTTTGTATTTTATGATGAACTTCCATGATTTAAATTTAACTTAAGATTCTTATATATAAGTATTTCCTAGATCATTGATTATTTTTGAATTGTCAATTTCATTGTAGTGTATTGCATCTATTCAATAACAAAAGTGATCTAAAAATTCTCGTTGTTTCCAAATTAGTTTCAAAAAGCCATTAAAGAGAAAAAGTGCTTGATTTATTCTTCATTCACATGAAAAGGGCATATTATATGTATACTTAATGTAAATCTTCTAATTTAAGGGGGAAAAGTAGATGCAAAAGCACTCTTTCATTTCTTTTGTTTTTCCCTTACTATATATGTACGTTTATGTACATACTATATTTATACCTTTTAATCTCAACAGCATAAGACTATTCTGCTTTCTTATGTCTTTAATCTTGTGTCTATAAAGTTATATAAAAGGACAAGAAATGCACAAGTTTCTTGTGTCTTGTTCACATGAAATATAGTGTAGATAGTAGCGTGAAATATCCAACATTGGACACAGTTAAAATTCTAAATTGCCAATGTCATCCTTCTTTCATCTATATATTTTAAAAGCATTCTCATTTGCTCTCTATGAGTATAAGTTTTGTATTTAAAAAATAACAATGGCAACTCATTCAATCCATTTCATTGTGCTTATCCCTTTTATTGTTGTTAGTGTGTTGATGTTTCATAACCAGATGGTTTTAGGCCAATGCCAAGGTGACCTTCAAGGTTTGATACAACAATGCTCGCAATATGTTCAAAAATCTGGGCCACAAATTGCACCATCTCAATCATGTTGCAGAGTTTTAAAGACTGTTGATCTTCCTTGTGTCTGCCATTATATCACTCAAGATGTGGAACAAATTGTTAGCATAGCAAAAGCTATTTATGTTTCTAGCTTTTGCGGAAAACCACTGCCTCATGGAACCAAATGCGGAAGTAAGATTACCTTTCATTTGCTATTGACTTAAGCTATCTTATGTTATCTTTTGTCTTTTTTTTTTTTGAAAATCTTACTAAATTGTTCCCAGAAAAATATGAGAAAACTAGCTTCCTTCTTTAGATATTTGCAATAATGCTTATAGATTAGGATGATAATACATTATCGATTCTTTATAGTTCGCTTAGAATGCATGTCTACCTCTCTTTCAATCTCTCTTTGTGACATAAGTAAGCATATGCATATATGTCCACAATCTTGTAAGCATGTCACTTGAATGTATGTCACATCATTGAGAGTTACATAAAATGACATTAACAAAACCTAATTGATCATGGCAAGTAAAAGTCATGTCATAGTCAAATAAATTTAACTTAATTGCTTAGTATGGATGCAAGTATTTTATGGTGTTGTCTTTGTAATTTCAAATTTCTTATCATTGTTTTGCAGGTTATACAGTTCCATAAAGTTCAATAAAGAAAACAAGTATAATAAAGTTATATGGATGGCTTGTTCGATCATCGTTCTTTTGTATGTCTATGACTATGGAAAAAAATTTATAATATGTACTAATGATGAAAGTTTGTTATTTTCTGTTCAGCAATTACATGTGTTATTACATATCCAAACTATTTATAGTAAACACCAAATTTATGGGTTCCATTTATTTTCAACCATAGATGCTATATCTAATTTTTAAGGATTTTTTAATTTATTATTAAGTCTTATTGTTTTTAGTTTTTAATTTTTAATTTGTAGATCTCTTTTTTTTTTTTGAAAAAGAAAAGAAAGGAAATTTTCTAAAAAGAAAAGAAGAAAAAAAGAAAGGTGGCAAAACTAATAAACCAAAGATTTTTTTTTAAAAAAAAAAGTAAAAGCCCAAAGTAGTAAATATCAACAATGACACCAAATGACGCAAAAAAGAAAAGGCAACCCAAAACTAAATCCCAAAAAAAAAAAAAGGAGGAAGATAAACGCCTTTAAAATAAAAGCCCCAAAAATTAGGTTTAATATTCAATCCTATTATAAGTTCAACATAGCGTTTTCAAAAAAACCTCCACGTGGCAGCATGACTAGTTACCCATTATCCCAACCCTTTTTCCACCTCCCTCATGTGCATGTTTTAATCTTTTTCTACCTCTCCTAGTTCTTGGAAATTCCATTATTCTACTATTTTCTTGATTTTTCACCAATTCGTTTCAACTTATGAGAAATCTCATACTAGGACAAAGTACATCAAAAAGTGCATATCTCAAGCTAATTTTCTTACAAGATCATGAAAGAAAATGTGAAAAAAATTACCATTGCAACACCAATGATCATAAACCTTCAAAGTTAATATACAAAGGAAGTATAACAAATATATTAGTAACTTCTAATATGCAAGGGACGCATACTAGATATATTAGTATAAAAAGTGTTTACACCAACTATCATTACTCAAACATTATATATTGTATAAATATTAGTAACTTCTACACTTCTAAATATTTCCCCATTTGAGTCAAATAGCTACTTCATTTTTATTTTTCTTTGTTTTAAAAGGTTCATCCTATTAAATGGAGCTCCTCTGCCCCAATATAACAAAACAAATAAATAAAAATAAAACTCATAAAAAAGTAAAATACTATAATTAGATTCAGAAAGTGAGCAATAGTTGGTAAGTCCCAATTCTTAGTTAGTAGTATCCAATTATAAAATCACTTAACAAATTATATGACCATATCAAAAACCATTGCCTAAATTGTAACTTAACAGCATGGGTTTCGTCTTAACTATTAAGCTTGTTTTCTGTTTGGGCTTTTATTTTCCTTTTGTATGGACCCAAAACGTAGAAAAAAGTGAGCACCAATTTCCATGAATAAAATTATGCTAAATATAATATAACTTTAACCTATTAACTGTTTCTCTAAATTAAGTAGCTTAAAAGAGCTAGTTTAGATTTGCATATACATGAAGTCTAAATTTGGGAATGGTAAAATGAGGAGAGTATTGCAAGGAGGCATAGTTTAACAAGTTTGCTTAGCTGGTGGCCACATGTGAAAAACAATTGTGACATAATTATGTTTCTTTAACAAATAGTTTTTAGTTAATGACTTATTTTACTCTCTAATAAAATAAATGGTGAGTGATTATACGTAGATGAGATCTTATTTTGAAATTATAAAAGAGTAGATATCGAAAGTAAAGGTAAAAAAGAGCTCTAAGTCTTACCTACTGCAATAGTCTATTATGCTGAACTCAGCTGAATATGTTGTTTTCATATTTGGATTGGGTATCAACTCAGCTGAACTCAAGAGTCAAGGGTCAATGGATTCGATCAACTTTAATTGGTGGTCGAATCGGATGACGTCATAAATACATCATAAATATATATTAACAATATATAATTAAAATAATACATAAAAGTTTCTCTTAAATTACTAGTTTACAACTTTACATAGCTATTTGATGAGTTTAAATTAAGTCCAAAAGGACTCTACTTAAATAGTTTTAAAAGCCATAAGTAAAAATGTAATTTGGAAAATGTGATGGGTTAATTTTACATTTTAATAAAGAGTAAATCTTAGATACACTATTATCGTTGGATTCATGACATGTGTACAAAAGTTGAATTTCAAATTTAAATTTTGCATAGTTGTTATTCATCCAATGCTGACAGTGTATGCACTATCGATGCAGGAAAGATTAATCCTTTAATAAAACAATAAAAGGTTGAAACACAATTTTTAAAAAATTTGAGGGCACTCAAAACAAATAAATGTTAAACCTAGCTCCTACTTCTTATTTTCTTTGTTGTACCATCACTTATTATAATATGATCTATCCTCCAATTTCTTGTTCTCCCAATGAAGTCTTGTTTTCCTGAGTCTCGACAAAGCTTTTTGGTTTTTATAAATTAATTTTGATTCATGGCTTTTGAGAAGAAATTCATGTGGAGGAATAGCCGATGAATAAGGAGAGGGAGGATCCGGATGATAAAGCAACAGCAACCGTCACTTACTTTCCTTTCTTTTTTTTTCGTTGTCTTCTTCTTCTTCCTTTGGACTATACCAGAACTCTCTATTTTCTATTATCACATAATAAACTCACATGAAAGCTCTTTCTTCTCTTCCCATTTTTGTTTTTCCCATTAAACATATTGGACAAATTGAAAGCTAAATTTACTTCTACCTGAAAAAAACAACCACAATATGATAATAGATGAGGACATAACAATTCAAGCCATTATCTAATACAATTATTATGATAGCAACTGGTAAGAAGTCACAGTTTTTTGAAAATTATATAGCATTATTGAAAACATAACTCACCATAAAAAATAGTTCACTAAAAATCATTAGCTAGAAGACATTTTCTTTTGAAAGGAGATGCAGTCCTATATAAAAATAAACATGCATAGACATGTAGGGATGGCAATGGGGGCGGGTGCCCGCGGGTGCCCGCCCCACGGGGGGCTCTCGGGGCGGGGGTTGGGGCGGGGGGGAATTTTTTCCCCCCGCTTAGAAACGGGGCGGGGGGCGGGGGTATACTCCCCCGCCCTATCCCCCGCCCCGCCACCCGCAAAAAAAAAATATATATATAATTATATATAATATGTAAGTTAATTAGTTATAAACTTATGATAATGATATTATTAGTTAGATGTATTATATAATGTATATTAGTTTATGTAATATAATTGATATTATCAATTATATGAATAATTATATATGTCTACTAATAGAATTTATTAATTAGTTATACTAAATTTACTAATACATTTATACTAAATTTCTAATTACACTTAATAGAATAACACTTTTTTCTCAAAAAAAAAAGCACAAACACAATAATGAATTAGTGATTGCATTTGTAATAAAAGTGAAAACTTGACTATTTTAGTTATATTTATTTCAGCATATTAGATTGTATTCAAATAACTTATGTTTGATTGTTTTTATGAGTTTTAATTGTAAAATTACAATGAATAATAATTTGGTGATGTGTTGATATTTTAGTACTTGATTATTTATTAAAATTTAATTATAATAAAATTTCATTAACCCCGCGGGTGCCCCCGCGGGGGAAGCGGGGCGGGGGCGGGGCGGGGCGGGGCGAGCGGGAGGCGGGGGACGGGGCGGGGGACGGGGGGAACTAATAGGCAACGGGGCGGGGGACGGGGGAGGGGTCCCCCGCCCCAACCCCGCCCCGTTGCCATCCCTATAGACATGGAAGCCTTTGATGTCCCAAGTCTATTAGAAGTACTCGGATATGATCTAGGAATTTCCAAATAATAAAAAAATTGCAATGGAAACATGTGCAAAATAGTTGCTTCCAAATATTTTCTTGGAACCCCTAATAATAAGCCTTTAAGCAAAACCTAAATATGCACAGAATTTTGATTTCCATCTGAATCAAGAATATCTTATTTATTCAATTCCAATTTTTTTAATATTAACTCCATTGCTTTACTAATGCAAGAAACAATATGAATTCTCCAAAAGAATACACAAAACAAAAATATTTATGGAGAATTTACTTGATCCATAAAAAGATTTTGAGCATACGAAATTTGAAACAATGATAGATGAAATCTTTTTACAAATATAACATATGCAAAATCAGAATCAGATTTGTCTAGGGAAAGGAAAATCTAATACGTCTCTATAAACATAGATTACAGACCAAATATTATAAAAAGAACAACACACAGCAACACATACAAAAGGATAAACCTTTACATTAAGCAGGAATATGGTAAAAAGATCCTGTGGATCAATTCATGATTGACAATTTAAATAACGCATACAATGCCTCCACTTCATTTCATGGGATTGCAAAATTAACTTCATTTAATTCATCAACTTTTGATTCCATTTCTTTCAAAATATTTAAATAGAATCCAGAGCTTTAAATTGAAAAATACAACACAAACCAATTCATTCTAAAATATAGTACAAAATCAAATATAATTCTAGCCATTTTTTTTAAGTTCAATTCTCATGGAAAATAGGAAAAGTAGTTATCTTTTTTGCATATGAATTGAAGCTTTAATGTGGTGGTTAGTACAATTGTTATCAAATTTCAATATGATTACTTCGAAATCAATTTTGAATTATAGATCACAAATTCCAGTTTTCATGCAATCAACAATGCGCCAACCAATAAAAGGAAAAAAGAATGAAAAACAAAAATCCATTAACTTTAATAAATCTAAATTCCAAAATATAAGAATTGTGAAAACATGGCATTACTTCAAGTTTAAATTTACCTTTTTCTCTGTTTTGACATATCAGTAAATAGTTGATAAAATACTTTGACAAATCAAGTAATTATCATACAGATTTCTAAAGTCACAAAGCTTATTGAATTTTTAGTTTTAGATTGTAATTTGTAGCAGATGTTTATCCATGTCTATAATCTAAAGTCAAGTAATTCAATTGCCAAAAGCTCTTGTTTGAAAGATTTATAGTAAGATTGTAATTGCCATCAATTATCCATTTTTTAATACATCAACAACCTAAAGGCAAGTGCTTCAGTAGCCAAACTATCATCTTTGAAAGAATTATAAGTATATTTTTTTTAAGAATTAAGTATGTGTATGGTTACATTTTTCAACAATTTAAAAGCAAAAATAT